GATTATGTTTGTGATAAAGTTCTCCCGAATAATGACACTTCTGATGAGTTTCCACTCTTGAAACGGTTCGCCGAGTAATAGACAAATGGATTCGAGACATATCTTGACGGGAAGTGGAGGGTTACTCATTGACCGCACTTCCACTAAATGCTGCCGTTTTATGGCTTTGACCGCTAAATAGTGTAATAAATAGATAATAAATGATAAGTATATCTTACGTCACGTCATCGGTTTGGAAATTAACAATCGTTGCGATGAAGTTTTCGCGCATAAGAACCGAACGAATCACTTTCCATTCAGTGGTCGTTTCGCCCAACAAAAGGCAAATCGATTCGAGGGCTAACTTAACGGCTGGCGGAGGATTCATCATAGATCTAACCTCAACTAAATTCTGTTTTTTAATTGACTGGACGGCTATAATGGGACAAAAATTCCAAACAAAATACAAATTAAAACAAAAAATAACTCCCAAAATGATAGGCGAAACAAAGCGATTAAGAGCCAAGAAATAAATAAGCGATTAATTGATTCAATTTGAGTGTTAGTGCGCTCTAAGTGTCAGCGAGTTTGGCGTGAAATGCAAGTTTGGTTAGCCGTGAGTTTTGAATATATCATTCATTATGGTATCAAACCTTGTTGTGCCTCTTCTACCGCCGGTTTCACTTTAGCCAAGTCTGCCATTACGTCGTCGGTCTTCTCGGCGATCGACGCCTCTTGTTTCTAAGCATTGAATTAAACAATCAATAGTTAATATTATTATAGCATTTAAATGGCATTAATGTTGAGAATCCATACTTTGAGTCTAATTTGCAATTCCTGTGACTCTACTTTGCGTCGTTCGGCCTCCTGTTGGTCTTTCAACATCTCTCTCAGTTTGGCGTTCGCCGCCTGATTCTTGGCCTCCAATTCATTGCTCTTCGAAGCCAATGACTTTTGCAATTCCTCGACCTGTTCCACAGTCTCTCTGATCTTCGAGAGGCCGACATTGAGGTGCAACTGTTCGTCTTCGAGTTCGGAACACTTTTCGTAATACAGTTTCACGTAATGGTTAATGAAATCGAGATAATGGCGCGGAGTTATTGTCGTCACTCTTCCGCCACGTTTTACTAGCCGTTCGTTCGCGTGGTGTAGGGTTTGGTGGATATACACGAATGCGTTGATAACGGCGTCCCTATGCGTTGGGTTGGCCGTAAAGCCCGGGAACGCCGACGGGAAGTATTGCGGCGCAACGTATTTGGTATTATCGATGTCCAGCTTTGACGTGAACTCTCGGCCCACTTGGAAGAGCGCCTCATTAGTCCAGTCGCCGAACCAATTGAGAACACATCGATTGAAGAGAGCGGGAGAAGTGGCCGCTCGGTCTTTGAGGCCTTCAGACGACGGATTCATTGTGAAGACGACGTGAAGATTTTTGATCACTTGGTGTGTAAACCATTTGTATAGTTCTTCGTTGGAGTCAAGCATAAGGCCCTCTCTCTGTGACGAGTCTTTGATTTGAGTCATAAGAGTAGTGAATTCGTCGCCTTCGAAAAGTCCGGGCACTTCTCCGTTGGCTAACAATGTGTTCATTCGTTCGAGAAATCCAGAGTCCATAACATTAGACTCGTCTAAAATAAAGCAAATCTTCTCGTCTTTACAACCGGAACGCCTCAGAACTGAACGCAAGTCTTCGTCAAAATCTGCGGCCGAATATTTGTTGTGGACTTTGATTTGAAAGACACTTAAGCCGTTCATCCACGCGACAAACCGGGAGAGCGTTGTCTTTCCCGCACCGCTCACACCAATCAACAGGACGTGTCCCTGAGGTTGACGGAAGATTCGGTCGATTCTCAACACGTGATCCAACACTTCATTAAACAACACAAGAGAGACATCGAGTTCTTCTTCATAGAACACTTTGAGCCGCGCTTTTGTGAATTCACGCAATACTTCGCGATCGACGGGAATGTAATCTTTGGACAACCAATTGCTGTAAAGTATTGGCCGCTGAAGAGCTGTCTGTTTGTCAATATTGGGGAAGTGTTTGAGTGCAATCACATCCACGTTCTCATCGGTCCAAAAGCGTTCCGCGTCTTCAACCAAGCGATCCTGGAATAGCCGGAGCGCCTCGTGAGCCCATAAACGCACCAAACCTTCAACTGTAAGCGTCTCGAGGGGTCGAATGGCCTCAACAATGCCTCGAACCCAACGCGTCAGCTCTCGGGGAGAGTAGACATAATGCGGTTGCATGTCTTGAGTGAACCTCTCTTGTGATATAAGATAAAACTCAACCATAGCTGCGGTCAACGGCTCGGCGTATGTCCTGAGCGCCGGAACTATTCTGAGGAGCGCTCGATTAAAGGTGCCGTAAATTTGTTTAAGAGATGTCTCTCCCGGATAGTCAACATAAATGACCGGAACGTGACGTAAGAAGCGATGAGACAAAGGTTTTCTGCCCGGATCTGTGGGCGGATTACAGGCGCCCACAAACTGTATTCTCTCCAACCGAACCCATGTCTGATCAGTAGTTCTGTAAAAACCTCCGCATTCGACGAGTTGTCTCAAGAAGGAGATCACTCGAATGGTTCCGTATTTGTCGACTTGAGGCAAATTGATTTCATCGCAAAACAATATGAGCCACTTTCCGATCTGAATGGGAGACAACACGACTCCATTCGGTGTCTTTTTATACTCGCAGTAGTGATCGAATGTCTTCAGTAACAACTCAGGAGTGGTAGCGCTGGAGAAGTTTAGGCCAACGACTTCCATGTCTGGCAGTGAACGCAATGAACTAAATAATGTCATAGTCTTTCCAGAACCGGGCGGTCCGCACAACACCAACGGCTTATGCTCTGCGAGCCATGTATTCAATAGCGATTCGTGTCTCACTGTATCGACTGTGGGGACCACGACATCAGGTGCGGCCACTTTATGGGTCTCGACCTCAATCTGTGGCACTTTGTTCTGCCAGAGAGACCACTCGCCGTTGAACGTCACCTCGTAGTCAATGAGTGGAGTGACTGAGTTGGCCGGCGGTAACGGAATGGTAGTAATGCTGCGAATAAAGTCTCCCAAATCACTCCTCACTTTGAGTTTGGCGTCGCCGGCGAAAGACCACAACAGGCCATAGACTAGCGATCGGGGAATGAAGCGCTCGAGAACGTCGTGTTGCATCGGGAAGTCTGTATGATTGTGATTGTAGTTCAATATGTTTCTACACGACTGGTTCAACATCGAGAACAAACTGCTCAGAGCTCGCAATCGCGTGAAATCCATGATATGTTCCTGTTTTGAGGCGAACTCTAACGCTCTCACGACGAGTCCGTCTAATGTGAAGTATGGCTGCAATATATTGGCGAAGTCCTGCTGTGTCTGAAGACTCGGGTGTTGTACTTCTGATTGATTGCCTTCGCTGTCGGTTCGCAACTTCTTCGTCCCATAGGTGGGGAAGTCGTCTTCAATGTCTTCTAATGCAATGTTACGTAATCTCAAGAAGAAGTTCTCGAAAATCATTTCAGTGGACAACACATCTTCGCTGAACCAAATCATACCACAGCGCGAAACAGTGGCCAAAGTGGCGAACTTCAAGTCTTGCACCTCAAACATAATGCGGACATTTGGAGGAATGCTTAAACGCTCACCGTTTGGAAGTGTCAACAGTTTATTATCGTCTAAAACACTGTTGAGATTTTCAACCCATTCGGGATCGACGTCGCCGTCGAATATAATCCATTGTCTTTTATTGATCTCTCCCCTCACGTTGTCTATGATTTTACGGAGAATATGAGTGAACAGACCATCGGTCCACTCGCGAGTGTTGGGATCCAGTGTTCCATAGAGTGCTTCTTTGGATATGGCTTTGGGATCGATTACGTGAGCGATGCCTTCAATGCCTTCATAGCGTTCGAGTGCTCTAAGAAGAACCCTCCACGCCGTCGATTTGCCGCTACCACTCGGGCCGACCATCATTAGGCCGTGATTTAGTTGAGATATTTGATACAATTGAAGCACTTTTGCAGTCCAAGAGCTGGCGTTGTTGTCCTCATTGGATGTCTCGGACTCGTAATCACAAACCAAATACATTTCGTGACACACTTTCACTATTTGTTCCTTAAGGCCTTTCATCTCAGCTCTCGTGTACTTAATTCCGGGGAAAACATCGGATAATAGAGAGAAAAGTAACGGAATGTCTTCGGCAACCAGTTTGGGAACCATTGTTTCGCACACACTTTGAATGAGAATCTCTTGTTCGGGCAGTTGTTCTGCGATCAATCCCTCATTAATTTTGTCTCCTTCTCCTCTTTCTTTCATATCTTCTTTGATTTTCTGAATTCTGTCTCTTTTAATATTACCGGCGCTCACGAGAACACTCTTAAGCGCTCGTAAGCCAAAGTCATAGTGAGACTGATTGGACAACTGTTCGTCACAGAGTTTAAAGAATGGGACTATTTTTGTGGCCAACTTCTCGGCCGTTCGGAAGCCCTGAGAGAATAACATAACTTCGGCGATGAGTTGTCGGTCGGGTTTATTCATAGCCAACGAGCGGAACAACTTCTTGAGATTGTCGGGTAAGTTAGAGCGTCCGGCGTATCCGGGATTCATAGTGATAAAGATAGCCATATCTGCGTTCAGCCGCACCTGCTTTCCAATCAGTTCGACAGTTAATTCAGATTTGTTTTGCAAATTTTTGAGCGTTTCCTGAATCATCTGAATCTGTTGCGAGACTGCGCTCAACATTCGCTCTTCCAATCGGTTGAACTCATCAAAGCAACCCCAGGCGCCCACTTGACACAGACCCACGAATATACGGCTCATCGCCTGCACATCAAACGTCTCGTCGCAGTTGAACACCAGAACAAATCTTCCCAATTGATTGCCCAATGCTTTCACTGATTCAGTCTTTCCAGTGCCGGCGGGTCCGAAGGGAGAGCCGCCCAGTCGTGACTCCAATGCCTGAGTCATTGTTAGATAACAGCGATCGGTGAGAGGCGTCTGAACGAGTTTGTCCTGAACTCCGAGGTATTCAAACCCGTAGTTGAACTTAGCGTTCGCCATATGAATAGACAGCTGTTGGAGGACATCGTGCTGTCGGGGATCGAAATAAAACCTCATTTGCGACAACCAGTCAAACGATTTGGGAGAACAGACATTGTTTTTAATGAGAGCGCGCGTCACGTCTCGCTTGTGGACAAATTCAGTGATGAGATGTTCCAACTTTTTGCGGCGCAAATTCGGCTGTTCCTGAAGCACAGAATCGGCCAACACTTTGAGTGTCATTTCCACCGATTTTAACACATTTTCCAATAATTCACACGTTTTGAGATTTTGATTACTAATCTGTAAGAGAGTGTTCTCCACGTATTCAGACCACGATATCTGCGCCGCGAGAACAATGATCTGCGCCTGAAATGTGTCCAACCATTTGACAAATTTATCAATTTCTATGTTTCCGCTCCTAAAGGGCGCGATCTCTGCCACCGCTGAGGCCAACAGTTTGCCTAATGTTATGCGCATTTCCCTCTCGAGAAGACTCAGCCATTCATTAATCTTCGGGTGTTCAACAATAGATATGGGGGTCGGGAACAGCACTTCTTCGCCCTCTTTGGAACACAAACCCAACACTAAAGTGTAGTCTTCATTGAGAATAATAGAGGAAACGCCGGCAAACATTTTCTTAAAGTGCTTTTGAAGTCGAGGAATGTTTTTACTGTTTCCGATAATTTCGAGCAAATCTTCGTCGCCAACGAAATAGAATCGGGGGAACGAAGACCTCTCTCTTTCCAGATATTCTCCCAAAGCTTTTTGAATTTTGCCCAAAAGATCGGCCAATCGTTCTAAAGAGCGCTGAACTCCGGGAATGTTGAGCACATCCATAACCATTGGACTTTTGGACACTTTCTTCATTAAAGTCAAAAATTCAGAACTGATTGACTGAAAGCGTGACGTCTCGACGGGAAGTAAAGCCTGAATATCGGAACTGCCGCTGAATATGCCCTCCAGATATACCCAACGTCTTTGGACATCAATCCACACATCGAAGAGTGCGTTAATTCTGTTGAGCTTCTCCTCCCACGACAGGGCGTCCTCTTCGAACTCCTTATAATATGGCGACAGTTTCATCGCTGTTATCGAGTTTATATGCTCTTTGACTTTATTGAAGAGGTCATCCCATCCACGGATAATACGGCACTTGTTTTGATAGTTGACTAAATCGAGTTCATATGTCTGCCACGCTTCCCGGACCTGTTTGAGGAACTCTTCGAGAGCCATCTCTCCCTGAGCCACGAGTATTATGTCCTTCACAGTGGACTCATTGCGTTGGAGGTCGACGTCCCAGACCTGTCCTAAAGTCAGTTCAGACAAAACCCATCTAACGTTGAGCTGACGAGTCAATTGTCTCCAGTGGCGCTCTTTGAGTGCATCCGATTTGAGTTCAATGATTAACATATTTGCTTTGGTATAGGACTGCAGCACACGTTTGACGAAGTCATAGGACGCGTACTGTCGAAGCCTTGCCGGCATGTCTTTCAATTGAGCCATCAGTCCATCCAATTGTTGACGAAGTTTTCGCGGTTGGACTGAAAGCCACGGCAACTCTTTTAATAAATCCATTTGTTCCCAAACTTTAGACAATTCAGTCCAAACTTCTTTCAAGTCTTGAAGCTCTTCGAGTGCGACCTGAAGTTTCTCATCGCTGGCACTGACGGGAGCCAAACCGGGTTCAAGCAATTCGAGCGCCTCTTTCGCTCTCAACACGTTATCGCGATCTTCTCTCAAGTGATTAAATTTGGTCTCAAAAATAGTCAAACGATTTAAGGCTTCTTTAGGAGAAGACGACCCTTCGATGGGCTTTCCTCTCTCCCACTCATGAAGAAAGTCTAGAGTTCGCGACTCAACGGACTTGTCTTCGGCCACAATCTTCACCTGAAGGCTCGACACTTGTTGTTGAATGGATGCGTCTTTGCGTTTCATAATCTCATTGAAAGCACTCCATTCGCCTTCAATGTTGTCGACGTGAAGCCAATTGTTGGGGAATTGGAAGCGCTGTCTCTCCAGAATCCTCTGCCCCTCTTTGTATGTCTCCACCTGTCTCTCCCACTGACGGGTCTTATTCTTCAACGACTGCACGTACGTAATGAAAGTGACGGCATCTTTAGTGTTGGCCGTATCGATGGAGTGCTGTTCCAATTCAGTCCGAGATTTCGATATAATTGAGTGCAAACCAGACATCTCTGTGCCTAAGAGTCCGCCAAATTTGCTCAGAACTTCTTTATGCCACGAATCGTATTTGAGAGTCACCTTAGACTGCACTTTGGCGTAATCAACAATTATAGGGCCGATCTCTTTACGCGTTTCTGTCGTATCAAAAGTAGTTCTCGACTTCTTTATCTCAACCAAAGTATTCATCCAAAGAGAGGTATTCTCTCCGAGTTTTGAATACAACATATCCGGCTGGAGGTCCCACAGAGACTGATATGTCAACCATTGAGTGATATAATCTTGCATTTGTTTCACTTTGCCTTCGATGGCTTCGTAAGCGGCTTCGAGAACAATGACTCCTTCGGGCATTCGATTCAATAGATCCCTGTATTGAGGCGCCGCCGGTCTGTCTAACCCGACCTGATATCTGGTGCTCTCGATTCGGTTCAAAGTCAACACCACGTTCTCCCACGCGAACAGCTGTTGCATGAGATCAAAGCGCGCCTCTTCCACACTGGGGCTCACATACATCACTTGATTCGTGATTCGGATCTCGTGTATCATTTTCTGAATCTTAGGATCGCCTCCGGGTTTGGCCACAACAGTAGTCGGAGAGTCGGTGTCAGTCAACACATCCATGTCTTCGTCGTTATTGCCTAACAGCGCTTGAGTCCACGCTCTGATTCCGGCCTCAAGTCTGACCGCGAGATTAATCTCAATCTCTTCGTCCAGTCGTGTAACCCATTCGCTTAGATTTGAATACCGCTGTAAACTCAAGTCGTCGACCGCTTTCTGAATTTTGTTAAGAATTTCCGACAAAACAGTTGTGCTATAACTGCAGCCTTCAATGCTTCGGACTTCGATCTCGATCTGTTCCGCGACGTCCAACAGCTCATCCACTTTCTCCTGAAAATTGAATACACTTTCGGCCAGTCTTTGGACATAAGAATCTCTTTTATAAGACTCCCAAACGAGACTAACGCCTTCAGCGATCAAGTCCTGGACGTCTCGCTTGAGTCCGGCCACGAGAAGGGCAACAGTGGGTCTCTGCTCTACTTTCTCACACGCCCTCTCATATGACTTGACTGTTTCAATGAGTGAGACGGCGAACGGGTAGTGTTGGTTCGCCTGATGGGCTTTGTTCACAATCGCTAACTGCACTCTAAAGCCTAAACTCCGCAGATTTCGCACTTCTTTGGCAAGAGTTATGATTTCGGGCATAAAATTGACGCGAAGTTTAAGAACACTTCCTTTGCCGCTCTTAGACCTGAAGCTTTCGATATTGAATATTCTTCCCGAGACATTGAGTTGTCTTTGTTGGACATTTCGTGTCCACTCATCGAAGATTCCCTGAGTGTTGAGTTTCATGCGAAAGCTGTCGGCGTCGCTCTTAAGCTTCTGGCCCTCGACGTGATTCTCCCAGCCTTTGCCCAACACATCCTCCACTCGTTTCATGTAAACAGAGAGTTGTCTTTCGATTTGTTTCGCCCAAACTATAGACCCGGAAACGGGCGGCAAATCCCTGACGCGACTCATTTTGCAGGCCTTGTTCTGCGGGTATTGAACTTTAAACTTCTCGTGAAGCGATTCGATGTCGTCCTTCACTCTCTGGATTAGTTGTGTTTGATATTCACGAATAGCGCCGCGAATGTGTGGTCTCACGAACAGAGCGTTAAATCGAGAGAATATTCTGAACATTTCGTTCGCATTCTTAGCGATTCCCAACTGATCTCTCAATTTGGCTGTAATTCTGGCCTCAACGCGATCGATGCGCTCTTCATACCTCTTCATCGACGCTTCCCACGCATCGGTTCCCTCTTTGCTGATGTCGAGCGCATCCACTTCTTTGACGAGTTCGTAGGCATTGTTCACTTCTTCAATGGCATTCATGTCCGCGGAATCAATGGACGAAAGTGTCGAATCCTTTTCAGAATTGACATCATTTATAGATTCGCCCTCTTTTACGGCCTTAACGACTGGTCTTAAGACACGAATAATGACTGCCCGGAGCTGTTCGTGTTGTCGACGAAATTTGCGCATTTGTTCCATTCGTGACTGCAATCTCTTGTGGGCCAAATTGATTCTCCAAACCATCTTCAAGTGCTCTTCTCTCTTCTTTTTGACAATATCTCTCATAAGGCCCTGAAGTTTGTCGTATTCGTCATCCCATGTGATGAACACTTCGGAACAGGCGGTGACCACCCTTTCGAACTCATCGAAGGGGATGTGCATCATTCGACGGGTGCCCAACACTTTCAACATCTGTGACATCAGGTCCCGAGAGATCGCTTCCATTAGTTTAAGCGCTCTTTTTATCGGATATTTTGTGTTTCGGATTTTTCTCAAGTGTTGAAATATCGACTGCAAAGCCATTTTGATTTTGTCGAGTTCTGTGGCCGCCAACAGATCGTTGAGAGGAAAGTCTTTCATCAGAGGATTGTAATCACTGACAGTGGAAAGCGCTTCCTTCAGGCGAGTGTCGGCATCAAAACTGACGGTCGCGTGAAAGCGCTTTCCATTCTTGAGAATCTCCAAAGTGATGGCCACTTCCGTACTCTCCCTCTTCTCTTGAATGCGTAGAAGAGCTCTCTCCAGATTCAGCCAAAAGCTAATCTCTTGAATAGCGGTTCCAGAAGACGGATCTCTGTCCAGTTTTGTCACTTTCTGAATCTCGCGAATCCAACGATTCACTCCACTCTGGAGTTGATTCAAAAACACGGAATCGTTTACTTTTTCGCCGAACTCGTCGACAATGACTCGTCTCTTCTCTTCGGAGCACTTCTTAATAACTGACAAAACATTTGGATGTATTTGTAAACTAATTTCTGGGATATCGATGTTCTGCTGGAGGTGCAGAAGACCCATCTCTAACTCCGCGATCTTCTTCTCGACCGTCGGCGCCATTTTATCGCCGTCTCTGTCCATACAATTCAGTCATTCATTACAATAAATTCAATGCTTAACGAGTAATGCATACCTCTCTGCTCTTCCGGTCTCTTTGACGTAAGACTTGAAATACGGGGCGACGGCTGCGGACACATACGAGTGCAGTGTCTCGTAAGGGGACGAGTCGTTCAGATTCATGACTCGTAGTTGTGTTGAGATATTCTTCTCGGCCTCCAATACGAGACCCTTTTTAATGAGTACAACACTATTGATCTTTGCGTTCATAAAGCGGACCTCTTCTGAGATCAAATAAACCACATTGTCTTCGGTGTCGCCGCCCGACTCCGACACCTCTTCCTCTTCTGTTCATCGATTCACAACTCGTTTAATATTTGTGTTTAAAAATGCAAATCAAATGAATGCAAACCTTTTGTGGACGATCTTTGGACGAGAAGTGATCGCATTTGTCCGTCGGACACAAATTTGCGGATTTTCTCAACAGTTGTGTCATTCCTGAGGCATAACTCCAGCGATGGATGGATGACATTGTCGTCTTCGAGAAGCGCCGGAACCACTCGTCGGATGTAATTGACGACAATCTGGACGTCAACCAAAGCCACTGCCGGCAGATTCGTGTCCGACGGCAGCGACTGTTGACCCGAGTCCTGACCCGACTCTATATTGTCTGACATCTCGACTATCGCTTCACTCTTAAGCCAATTATGTGTTCATTAAATAAATACTTAATTAATTATAAAAATAAATAACAATTTATTGAATCGTTTCAAAGCATTAATGCATCAAAACTTATTGCAAACATCAAAAGTATTCAATTGATGGGTGTTTTCACTAGTGTTGCATAAATAAATACTTAATTAATTATAAAAATAAATAACAATTTATTGAATCGTTTCAAAGCATTAATGCATCAAAACTTATTGCAAACATCAAAAGTATTCAATTGATGGGTGTTTTCACTAGTGTTGCATAATTTGCATTCAACACTATTTAATGCTTTATTTGCTTGCATTTGAATAACAGGTTAAAGTGTTTTCAATATGATTATAATACAACAATAAGTATCATATTAATGTAATCTACCATGGTTACATTTTAATTATTGACCAATAATTATGCAAAACATGAGTTAATATATGTATTGTTACAACACTATTATAAGCTTATTATATTGAGAGTTGTGTTGAAGTGAGTGATGAAGTGCTGAGAAGAGCGGTCTCTGGTGTTGAGAGCATATACTGAACAAAGTTTGGCACACTTTGTATGACTTGACAACAGATTGATAGACAGATGGCTTCACCACTCGTTTGTCTCCACTCTTCTATAGGAATCCATAAGTGTTTCGCGAATTGTCTCTCAAACCTATGACTCAATCATTCATTCACTCTATTATTATTGTGAACACAAAAAAACAGACAATAATTGACAACATTTTGGTCGCCAATCGAGTCATTGTTTGTGTCGTTTGTTTCAATCGTTTGTATGAATGGAGAGAACAATGAGTTAATCACCGATTCATACAAACCATCGTTTGTCTCAATGAAATGCCCGACCATTTGATGTGAGTTTACATTCATTTCTTACTCATAATTACTATTTTACTATACAATGAATGTATGAATGAATGCGTCTATAATTTGGTAATCATTTTCATGAATGACTCAATATATCCATCACTTGTTGTTTTACTCCAATCGATGTCTTAATTGTCCGTCAATTGTATTGTTGACAACAATTGGTGTGTTTTATACACAACAAGACATTGAATTGAATTATTGATTAATTGTAGGCCTTATTTAATAAATACTTAATTAATTATAAAAATAAATAACAATTTATTGAATCGTTTCAAAGCATTAATGCATCAAAACTTATTGCAAACATCAAAAGTATTCAATTGATGGGTGTTTTCACTAGTGTTGCATATTTTGCATTCAGCACTATTTCATTGATTATTTGCTTGCATTTGAATAACAGGTTAAAGTGTTTTCAATATGATTGTAATACAACAATAATTATCATATTTCTGTAATCAACCATGCTTACATTTTAATTATTGACCAATAATTATGCAAAACATGAGTTAATATATGTATTGTTACAACACTATTATAAGCAAATTGTATTGAGAGTTGTGTTGAAGTGAGTGTAGAAGTGCTGAGAAGTGCGGCCTCTGGTGTTGAGAGCATATAATGAGCAAACTTTGGCACACTTTGTATGACTTGACAACGGATTGATAGACAGATGGCTTCACCACTCGTTTGTCTCCACTTTTAGATAGGAATCCATAAGTGTTTCGCGAATTCTCTCTCAAACCTATGACTCAATCATTCATTCACTCTATTATTATTGTTAACACAAAAAACAGACAATAATTGACAACATTTTGGTCGCCAATCGAGTCATTGTTTGTGTCGTTTGTTTCCATCGTTTGTATGAATGGAGAGAACAATGAGTTAATCACCGATTCATACAAACCATCGTTTGTCTCAATGAAATGCCCGACCATTTGATGTGAGTTTACAGTCATTTTTTACTCATAATTACTATTTTACTATACAATGAATGCGTCTATAATTTGGTAATCATTTTCATGAATGACATCCAATATATGCATCACTTGTTGTTTTACTCCAATCGATGTCTTAATTGTCCGTCAATTGTATTGTTGACAACAATTGGTGTGTTTTATACACAACAAGACATTGAATTGAATTATTGATTAATTGTAGGCCTTATTTAGATATGCATTACATGTGGCGTTCACTTAATGGCCAATTAATGTATTAATTATGGCATTAGTTTTGAAGGCATTTAACGCTTTAGCGATTGTTGGCATTCATTGTTTGCAATTATATTTAGCATTCAATTGTCAAAAGCAGTGAAACATGTGTTTTGTGGCCACGAATTGACAGTCAAAGCGCGTATGAATTACTGTTGGCTTTTGTTTGTGACAATTGTTTCGACAAATTGTAAGACAATGTCTTTTCTTATCGAAAGTTTTGTTATAAAATTAAATAACAATTTGTAATAAAGTTTATGTGAGAAATGAAACTACAATTAAACTGCGAGATAAGGGTTGAGAACCTAATCGTAAACCTGTTTTGCAATTAAAGTTTCGTTATTAAACTTCTCATGACTTGTGACCCAATTATAACCTTATGTTTTAGAGAAAGAGTCGGATATAAGTTATGGAAATAAAGTCTATATAATTGAGTAAATTGTGTTTTTGTTGCCATTAATTATCTTTTCATAAAATGCAAAATTAAACCAAAAACTAGTGTTTGTCTTAAATTCGTGTAAAAATGCAATTTTATGGCAACAAAACGTTTGTTTGCATTAATCCTAACATAATATCCAGTGATCGCTATCTTTGCTATTCTTAATAAACTATTAATAAATGTTTCACTTTTTAAATGCCGTTAAATATGTTAGAAATTATATTTTGTTTTTGAGTTTAATTTAATGGCAAATAACTGTAAATCATTTGAAGACATAAACTCAGTGTTGTGTATAGTCTTGTCGTTTCTCTAAACAAATATTTACTCTTATTTATGGATAAAGAGTTGTTAAAACTTTGATCTCATCCTATCGTATACTTTAACTATGATATTAGATAACAGTAACACTAAAGTGACAAACCTTTGAATTTATTTGTTTTGTTTTTTCACTGTTAACTGCATTTATGGATGAATTTATTGATAATAAACAAGTTCTTCGCAGACCAGAAGTGGGCAGTAATGCGAGCCATCAAATGAGTGCAAACAAATTGTCATCTAATCGGTCGACCAATAGTTCCGGTCCTTCTTCGCCACAGAACATGGATTTCAATAAATTGGAGCCAAATTTGTCGACAAATCCTATAATGAATGAATTCAAAGTTTATAACCAAAAGTCCTATCCTATAGTCTACGGAGAACTCGTGATTCTTGGGTTCGTAACAAACAATAGTTAATTTGGTTTATAACTAGAAATAAATAAATTGATTAAACTTTAGATACAATGGAGGCCTTCCTCAGGGAGAGAGAGGCCGCCGGAAAAGCAAATATTTGTTATATAAGAGACCCAATGCTAACGGAATTAAGAAATCCAAACACTATGTCGTAAAACAGCCGCAATCGACACGAGTATGTGTTGTCAGTAAATGAATGTAAATTTTAGATATAAATTAATGAATGCATTGCAAAACAATAGGCCATTCAAGATAAGGCTCAGCACTCGATTTCCTACACACTTTCCCGATCTCAAGCCATTATAGTTGAATACCAATCAGACGATGACACCGATATGTTTCAGGTATTGATTGAATTGTTTTGTTTTCGCTTCACTTCTATTTTAAGTGCGAAATTAATTGATTGATTGATCCAAAGATCGGTCGTTCATCTGAAAGTCCGATTGACTTTGTAGTGATTGATACACTGGTGTCCGACCCAAACAAGACTAACAACGAGAAACTTGTCCAACAAAGCACTATATCTCGTTTTGCGTGTCGTATACTAATAGAGCGCTCACCGCCTCATAGGGCCCGCATATATGCCGCCGGTTTTGATTCGTCACGAAATATATTTTTAGGAGAAAAGGCAACGAAATGGCAACAAAACGGGGAAATCGATGGTTTGACTACAAATGGAGTGCTAATAATGCACCCGAAGTCCAAATTTTCCAGCTGTCCGTCAACTGAGTCACCGAATCAACAGTTTGGGGGCATTTGGAGAGAAGTTTCCGTTTGTGGGGAAATATATTCAGTCCGCGAAACTCGTTCTGCGTCTACAAAGGGAACCAAAATTGACAACGAGTGCAATGTTCTAACGGACGGAACTCTCATCGATCTGTGCGGTGCGACACTCATCTGGAGGTCATCCGAAGGACTGACCGCTTCTCCCACTAAAAAGCATTTGGAAGAAATGATTGACGAACTCAATGCCGCCCGACCTCAATGTCCTGTAGGTCTGAACACACTTGTGATACCACGAAGAAATGGGTCGCTCACCGAAGCCGACAAACAACCCTATGTTTATCTGAATTGCGGTCACGTTCAGGGACTGCACGATTGGGGTCAGAACCGCAACACCAACGGTCGCACCTGTCCCATGTGCCTCGATGTTAGCCCCGTTGCCAAACTCACTATGGGTACCGAACCCTCTCTATATGTCGACAACGCTAGACCTAACTTCGGCTTCAATCCGTGCGGTCACATGACTACAGACAAGACTGCGAGGTTTGGCACAACTATTCTTGTTTTGATTATTGATATGCTTTTCAACTTTATGTTAAACATTGTCTATATGTTTAGGTATTGGTCTCAAGTGCCTATACCTCACGGCACCAATGGTTTCCACGCCATGTGTCCCTTCTGTGCCACACCATTACAGGGCGATTGGGGTTTCATTCGTCTCATATTTCAGGATCACGTCGACTGAAACATATATTTTTCCCTTAATTTATTGATTTTTATATTTTGCAAACAAAATCATTGATCACAACATTTTGCAAACATTCTGTGATTTAATCATTATTTTGTCGCTATATATGTCATGAATGGAAACAGTATTTTATATAAATACCAATCATTTGTCTCTCAAATTGGATCATATTTTTCGCTTCTCTAAAGCATTTAAACCAAATTATTATTAATATAATTCTTAATATAATTTCTAGAAAAATATCGTTTTCCCTATAAATAGAAAGCATTTGTTTCTTTCAAATCATTGAGAAATCACTTCTACTTAAGTAAAAGAAATCATTGAATAATAATTTTTAACGCAATATATAATATGTTTTATCATTTATTAATACTTAAAAATGTATAAAAAATAAATAAATAATTTTTAAAGCATTTTATCTGAATTGTTGTCTGAAATTTATTTCCATTTGTTTTAATCTGATCTCAGATTTGCGTCTTTCATGTGCTCTGAAAGTCCTGTTTTTTGTGATAACATTGTCGACCGCTTTCGTGTCAAATGAACCAAAATGTGTTACTTTTGGCTTATTTTTGGGATCATTTAATCCAAAGCCCAAGCGATCCCTTTTGAGGACTGTCTTAACGGGTGCTTTCATTCCTCGGCCTTTGGGTCCCAAACCTCTGTCACGACTCCAACCGCTTCTCAACAACATTTGAAAGCCTTTATTGCTTTCACTGATTTCGTAGTATTTCTTAAATTGTTGACCGCTTTTAATATTCATTTGATGAACAACTGAACACTTGTGCCGTACATCACATCCATTGTATGGTTTGTCACACATATCACACATTTTGCTCTCATTTCTGTCCACTTCTTCTCTTTGAACTGATTTCAATATATCGTCCTTTTTGTCCACAATATCTCTATTTTGATGATTACTAATGAGATGACAGATGTGTTTGTGTCCATTAATGAGCGCCAAATCGTATGCATTTCTGCCCCTCTTATCGGTGGCTTCGATGTCGGCGCTGTTGTCGAGCAGTAATCGCACGATCTCTTGATGTCCGGCACAACAGCTGACCATCAAAGGAGTCCACAGGTATTGGTCACAAGTGTTGACATCAAATCCCAATCCAATCCATTGCTGACAACCACTCAAATCTCCGTTTTGACAAAACTTGAAGATTTCCTCGCATTTCATCCCATTATCACGTCTTCTCTCAATTGTCTTCTCCTTTGAAGAGGTCTTCGCTTCAGTTTTGACTTTATTTATGTTTTTATCGTTTGATTCGTCAATACTTGAGACGATTTGGTTATAAAACTCTTGGATTTGCTGTCCATTCAAGTGGTTATCATTTCTAACGCTTTTAATTCTCACACTTTTTTCGCAATCAAATTGTTTTTGTTTAACAAAACATGAATTAAACACTGATTTTGACATTTCTTTCAATAATAAACACTTATTTCGTAAACATTTCGTGCATTCAATTCAATGCCAACACAGCTATAGATTACGTCAATAAAGGACTCATTGTTTTCCACAAATTGTATAATTTTTTCATACATTTTGTCATTTCTTCATAAAATCTGTCGTTTTTTCGAAATAATTAGCAAATTATTTGAATTCAAATTTTTATTTAAATAACAAAAATAAATGTTTGAAAAATATTTTACATAAATATTATCTCAATTTTCACGACTTTTAGAAAAGTTTTTAAATATAACTTTCAAAAATTTTAGTTCAAATGCAAACACAAAACAATTTCTGTTTTTAATAGACATTCCTTTGCGTTAAGTGTCGGTTAAAATCATTTCAATCGCTGTCTTGACTCGGTTTGTCTTCTTCTTCCTCTTCATCGTCTGCTTCCTCTTCATTGTCTTCTTCGTCGGATTCACTACTACTTGAACTGTCATCGATGTCTTGGTCTCTATGGTTTGTATTCCTAAAGAGTTGATCCGAATTAATGTCTTCGTCGGTACTGTTTTTGTCCTCAAACTCTGGCGGCCTTTCAATCAATCCATTAAATTAGTCAACAATTAACGCAATTTAAGCTCAAATTACAAACCATTTTCCCTCGTCTTTAATGTATTTGATCTGATCTTTGAGTAAAATACTAGTGATTTCTGCCTTCACTTTATTTCCCTCTTCTATCGGATCCACAATCAGATAATCGCCTGAAAATATTGGACACAATTCAAAGTCAAACATGAATTACACGCAAATCAATGCCAAACCTCTCTTAATCCAAATCCATTTGCGAAACTTCGGAGGCATAGAAACCAAGTAATTGTCGCCATCGGGAGTCACCACTTCGTGAAGATTATTGCCGCGACCGGCGATCACCTCAATTGATCCAATAGTGGCGTTAGTTTTAAAAGTTTTAGGTTTTGATTAATTGATTCAATACTTTGACAATGAGTTGATTATGTTGTGGCAAATCGTAGTGATTGAGCACTTCTTCGGTCACGTGTTTCTTCTTCGTCGCCGAAGACATGATATTCCTCTTCGTATCGATTACTTAATGACAACCAAATGGTCTCTAATTGTAATTGAATTTAAGCCACAATTTAAACAAAAACGTGGATTTGTTTGAGATTTCATTTTATTGTAATGTGTTTTGCATTCAAATGGTTTCCACAAAAATCATGTCTTTATTTATACACAAAAATATTTCCCAAAACTCATTGAATTTCACATAAAATAGTGTCGAAAGGGGTTTAGAAAGGGGTCCGAAACCTGCGCTCAACTCATCTCAATAGCTATTATCACACTTTTGTCAATACATTTCATTTGTCTCTCAATTAAATGAGCGTTTAATTGATTTAGAGATTAAAATGCATTGAATTTATGCACAATTTTGCCATACATTGAATGCAATACTAATTATAGGCAACGAAAAGGCGGGAAATGTGTGGACGTATTGACTGAACGACTCGTCAATGCTTTCTAATAATGACATCATTTTTAAGGCAAAAAACAATAAACAAAACATCAATTGATTTGAAGTTTGCGTTTAATTAACGTTACATTTGTTGTTAAGTTTGTGTTTTGTGTTTCAATTCAGCGTTTATTGAATCGTTTGGTCATCACATCTGAAGAGGAATAATGTCGACGACATCGCAGAAACACCACAACTTCGTGTCGGAACCGATGGGCGAAAAGCCGGTCACAGATTTGGCCGGCATTGGAGAGGTGTTGGGCAAGAGGTTGGAGGGAAAGGGTTTCGACAAAGTATGACAACTAATCACATGATTATTATTATGTCTAACTCTATGTCTATATGACTATACGATAGGCTTATGTGGTTTTGGGACAGTTTTTGGTGCTGAAGAAGAATCAGGAGCTGTTCGTCGAGTGGCTGAAGGACTTGAGCGGTGCGAACGCCAAACAGGCGAAGGATTGCTGCCAATGCTTAGGCGAGTGGTGCGACCAGTTCTTGTAGACCACACTCAGACACCACTACATCACACCATCGCTGCCAACACTTCACTCCTTTTATTTATCGTCTCTTTGCGGCAGTTGTTTCTCGAAATGCTTTTAATTACAACTTTTTTTTACAATCAAATTAATTTTCTTCTCTTTATTATAACGATTACTAATTATTTTATTTTTCGTGAATTTATGGCTAAAATATATGCAATTATTCATATTATTTGAGTTTTTAATTTATGTGATGAGAAATATGACCACAATTTTGATTTGATTTGTTTTAACGTTTTTAATGCAGAATATTTTCTCAATAAATACAGTAATTATTAATTAAAAATTTGTATTCAAAACTATATTTATTTTAACAAAACATTAAGTGATGATAACATTAACAAACATTATAATGAATATAATTTTTTCTTAAAGTCTATTTTGACTATAAATCACTAATTAATATATATTTAACGAGAATTGGAATTATTGTAAATCACAGACTATTTAAGCGTTCATTCAATGGGAATGCGATTTATGTCTAATTTATGTGTATTTAAGACCGAATCTGAAAGAGTTCTTCGTTTTTGTAAAGTACTCCTGTTTTCAATGATATATCTCTCGATTTGTGAATCAAATGATGAAATGGTTTTATCGTCGGATGTGTTTCGCAAGAATTTGTTTAATTCATACCATATTATGAATTGTGTCTTCAATTCACTGTCACTTTTATGTGAATTTAAAATATAGAGTTTTTTAAGTTCTTTTTCTTTAATTACTTTCCAGCGCTCTTTGATCTCATCAATGGGTATATTGTACTTCATTTTGTCGGGAATTTGAGTCCTCAATCGTCTGAATTGCTGCCTATTCTTAGCCCTATCTATTGGATGTAATTCTTTGGCTCGTTTTAAACATTCTTTTTTGAAACTCTGTTTTGCACTCAAAAGTTTATCTTTTCTTATATTTGAGACTTTTGTTGATTTAACTGATTGTGAACTGATATCTCTCGACAAACTGTTTTCGTTTCTCAATGAGCC